CTCAGGCTGGTCTCGAACTCCTGAGCTCAAACAATCCGCCCGCCTTGGCCTCCCAGAGTGCTAGGATTACAGGCGTGAGCCACCGCGCCTGGCCCAAAGATTTCTTAAATAGGACACAAACAACTTTAAAGAAAAAAATAGGTAAATTTGGCTATAGTAAAAATTTCTGTCTATCAAAAATTACCATTAAGAAAGTGAAAAGGCAACCAGAGTGAGAGAAAATACTTAAAATATACTTACCTGGTAAAGGACTCATGTCCAGAATATTATAAAGCACTCTTACATATTAATTAGAAAAAGACACACAACCCAATAGAAAAATAAGCAAACAATTTGAGCGGACTTTACATAAGAAGTGTCTAAATGGCCAATTATATTAAAAAATACACAACTTCATTAATCATCAAGGAATACAAATTAAAATTGGTGTGATAACCATCACACACCCACCAGAATTGCTAAAATGAATAAGGCAAAAAATACCCAATTGTTGGTGAGGAAATGGAGCAACGAAACCCTTATTTACTGCTAGTGAGAGTATAAATTGATATAATCACTTTGAAAAGCAATTTGGGATTATCTAAAGCTGAATATATGCATACCCTTTGACCCAGCAATTTTACTCCTGTATAATCAACAGAAATATGTACATAATTAACGAAAAGACATGTAGAAATAAGTTCATAGAAACTTTATTCACAACACCCAAGTACTGGATAGTATCCAAATGATCTAAAAACAGTACAATAGGTAAATTAGTTGTGGCATGAGCACACAGTGGACTACCGCAATGAATATGAGCACACTTCAGCTGAATGCAACCATATGGATGAATCTTACAGTCATAATGTTGAGTGACAGAAACCACACAAAGGTTCATAGTATATGATTACATAAAGTTGAAGAACAGGCAAAACTAATCTACAGACCCAGAAGTCATAAGAGTGGCAAACCTCACCAGAGCAGAGGGGGCCCTGTATCTAAAGGGTACACAGGGGGGCTTCTGGGATGCGGGCAGCCTTCTGTTTCTTGGTCTTTGTGCTGATTTCATGGATGTGTTCACTTTGGGACAATTCACTGAGCTCTACCCTTATGATTTATGAGCATTTCTATATATGTGTGAGACTTTAAGAAAAAGTTAGGCATATATGCTAAAAAGTGAGTAACCTTGATTCTTTTTGTTTTTTACTTTTCGATGCTGTCCTTCAGAAGTGATCTTTAACTTTAGATGCTTACTACTGGCCATTAAAGACGAAAACTTTTTTAGATGGAAAATTACTCATTCTGGGCACACCTGTAATTCTAGCACTTTGGGAGGCTGAGGCAGGAGGATCGCTTGAGGCCTGGAGTTTGAGACCTGCCTGGGCAATAGCGAGACCCCGTCTTCACAAAAAAAAAAAAAAAAAAAATTAGTTGGGCACAGTGGCACACACCTGTAGTCCCCAGCCATTCACGGTGGCTGAGGCAGGAGGATCACTTGAGCCCAGGAGTTTGAGGTTTCAGTGAGCTATGATGTACTCCAGCCCGGCCAACAGAGTGAGACCCTGTCTTGGAAAAAAAAAAAAAATTACTCATGAAATTGTTTGAGTTTAGGAAAAGAAATATTTACCATGAGGTGTATTTAAGAGAAGGACCCTATTTATTTGTATGAAAATATTTTTACTGGAGGAAAGGACCTTTTGTCTCCCAGGTGCTATACTTCATCATCTTATTCTTAGTAGAAAACTTTTTAGCTATTTGATTTGTGAGCTTGGGCCATAAACCTATGTGAGGACCAGCTTGTGACTGAAAAACTCACAAGAGACTTACCTCTCTACATCAGCATCCGGGATTTTTTTTTTCTTTTTTTTCCCCTAGTCTTGGAGTAGGTAGGATGATAGGATGATGGGTGGTAGAGTGGTGATTTGGATATTTCTAGAGCAGGGGTTGGGAAGCTATAGCCTATAGGCCAAATCTAACTTAATGCCTATTTTTGTAAAGTTTTATTGGAACACGGCCACACTCATTTGTTTACATATTGTCTGTGGCTGCTTGTAGTTATAGGGGCAGAGTTGAGTAATTGTAGCAGAGATGGGCATGGCCTGCAAAGCTTACAATATTTACTATCTGGCCCTTCAGAAAAATTTTGCCAACCCCTCTTCTAGACCATGTATTTCTAGACTACTCATTCATGTGAACACTGTGATCTGAGAGCCTTTGCTAACCACCTGTGGCTGTTTCACCTTAAATTAAATAAAATAAAGAATTCAGGTTATTTGTATTAATCATATTTCAAGTGCTCAGTAGCTACATGTGGCTAGTAGCAACTGTATTGGACAGCATAGATATGCAACATATCCATCTTTCAGAAAATCCTCTCAGGTAGCCCTGATTGAGCCACTTGGTTCTTGACCCTCTCCGTCACTGAAAATCTCTGCTGATGTGCCTGTTTCTTTCATCTGAACTTACTTTCTCTATTTTCTGTCTTTGTGGTTTCTTTCTATCCTCTGTGATTAAGTTTGAATCTCAATTTATATGTATTAAATATATTGATTCTTTTTCACCATTTCGTGTATGTCTTCTTTAGTTCACTGGAAAGATTATAAGGTATTTACAGGCAGGCGCTGTGTTTCTGTTGCTTTATAGAGTATCTTGCAGAAAATAGTGTTTGTTACTGTTGTTTTACTATGTACTGGATCTCCCCAAATCATTTCAGTTTTTTTTTTCTCTAGGTATAACGAACTGTAAACTTTAAAAAAGCAAAGATGGGTGAAAAGAAACCAGAGCCTTTGGACTTCGTGAAAGATTTTCAGGAATACCTGACTCAGCAGACCCATCATGTGAACATGATTTCTGGATCAGTTAGTGGGGACAAAGAAACAGAGGCTCTTCAGGGAGGTAGACTCATCTTAATACTACTAAATAATCCACTTTTTATAAATATATTAATATTTGTGTGTAGTTATCCATATTATGAAGACCACTGCTCACTAATGTGAATCATTCTGGTTTTTTTCCCTAGAAAAATAATGGGGCATTTTTTTCCTTCTTCAAACATACCAGATTTTTGCTGAGGGAGAGTGTTTAACATGGTCTGGAGATGTATTGGTGATCTTATTGGAAGGTTACAGATGCTAAATACCCTTCCTGTCCTCCAAGTTCTATTAGCTAACAGCAGACACATGAAACCCAAAGGGGATCAAAACAATAGCTTCACTATACAAACAATTCGGCCATCAGGATTAGACCTGAGACCAAAGTAGGGGTTTCTATTTCTTACCTGTTAAAATGAAGAAAGGGCTGACCAGGTTTACCCATCCAAGAAGAGAAACTAGAACAGAGAAAGCAGTGACCTGCTTGAGCCTGCTAGAGGTATATTTTGTCTAGTTCATTTGCCACACAAAAACTGGAATTTATTCCTAACCTAGCTCAGGGGTTAGCAAACTATAGCCTGTGGGCCCCATCTGGACCACTGTATTTAAATGCCTACAAGCTAGGAATGGTTTTTACATTTAAAAATGGTTTTTACATTTAAAAATGGTTTTTAAAAAGTAAAGGAGAATAATGTCCTGACACATGAAAATTCTGTGAAATTCAGACCTTAATGTACAGACGTGCTCATTTGTTCACATATTTTCTATAGCTACTTTTATGCTAAAACAGCAGAGTCCAGTAGTTATGATAGAGACCATATGATGCACAAAGCCTGAAGTACTTGCTACTCACCCTTACAGAAAAAGTTTGCTGACCCCTGACCTAGAGGGTCTAAGTAGGGCCTTGTAATCTAGGGACTGGCAGCAGGGACCAGGCATCACCTGGGAGCTTGTTAGAAATGCAGAATGCCAGACCCCACCCCAGATCTACTGAGTCATAATCTGTGTTTTCATAAAATCCCCAGGTAATTCATTTAGATATTAAAATTTGAGAGGCACTGGCTTGGGAAAGCAGTGGGAGAGAGGGACACACTGAACCCGATCCCTCCAGTATAGTGGCCCTGTTGGATACCAGCCTTGCGTCACTGCAAAATCACTTCTCCTGGTGAGGTGGGAGGAAACAGAGGAGCAGGGGCCTTGAGTTTCCTCATGCCAGCACTGCTCCTTCCTGGGATGGAGCATAAGATGTTTTCCCATGAAGCTGCAGGAATAAAAGTATCCCTCCTAATGCTAGATTGGCAGACTGGATTTAAGAGACCAGGGTTGTAGTCCCTGCCATTTGCTGGTTTTCCTGATTATGAGCAGCACCTGTCCCTTCAGTTTCTTTATACAAAGAAGTTCTCAGATTAGATTAAAAGCAGACAGCCAAACAAACATCTTTTGGCCCTGAAATTGTTATGATCCTAACATTCAGAGGTATCAGAGACAATACTTTCCTTTTTGTGGCTTAATTAGAATTCTAAGATCCTAAATATAACCCAGAATCTAGAACATATGTATAAACTGAGTGAGGTGATGAACAACTTATTAATTGCTTGTTTAGACTAAAGTAAATAGAGTTAGGATTTTGGTGATGATTATGATCACCAGCTACAGCTGTAGGAACAGCTAGGGTGTTAAACACCTGTGTATAACTGTGCCGTCACTCTTCAATGAATCTCCTTACTCCCCTCTCTCCTCACCTGTTTTCTTCTTCAAAGGCTGTTGAAGACTGACACAATTTATATGTAAATAATTTGAGATCCCTCTATAAAAGGTTCTGCGAATATAATACAGAACATATTACTGCTTTTGTATAAAATTAGCCTCAGTTCAGAAAGTCTGTTATAAAATGAATTTAACTTTTGTGGGAAGTGAACTGTCAATTTATGAAAGATTTTCAACCACTTAAGACTAAAATGCTAAATTGAGTTGATTCTGAAATGCATAATTTCTTTTGCTATACTTTGTTTATAGCTGGAACAGATGGTGATCAAAATGGACTTGATCACCCATCTGTTGAAGTTTCCCTGGATGAAAACTCAGGAATGTTAGTAGACGGGTTTGAAAGGACGTTTGATGGGAAGCTTAAGTGTCGGTACTGCAACTATGCCAGCAAAGGAACAGCCCGGCTTATCGAACATATTCGAATCCACACAGGTAAAGGAGACACAGCTAGAGAAGGCATTTCTTTGAGGGCAGTAGTGAGGGGCCAAGGACGACAGGTTGATCTGTGGTAGAAATAGTTCTTACAGTTCAAAAATGAAGGTTGATGTAAGGTTTGAATAAATGAGAAAGTTATTCCATTTTTACAAACCATCAGCGTAACAACATGCAGACAGGTCAGAAGTGAAGCCCCTTGTCTCCTTCCTTAGCCATTTTAATTCTTGATCCAAATAATCTCAACATCAGTCTGCTTCTTAGATTGAGGAGGATAATGCTCAAAGCATTATGAAGTGATAAAATGTCTTTATCCTTACTAGTACATTTCAATTGCAAAAATGGGGAGAAGTTTTCTATACAATTGCAGACTCTACTGCTAATCCTAGGTGTCACCTTAGCCATCCCTTCTTCTGAGAAACCTGCCTAACTAACTACACCCTGCCTCTGCCCAAGACCAGGCGAGGTGTCTTTCCTGTGTGCTCCATGGCTTCCTGTGTTCATTCATCACATCATTGTGGTGGCCCAAGAGCCTTTTGAGGACAGGGATTATGATGAGACCATCTTCGTACCCCTAGAGTCTACCAGGGCATCTGGCACATACTTGTTAGATGAATGACTCCAAATCTCATATTTCAAATATTTATTTTACATATTTGGGTAGTTGTCAATTAACATCATTAACAAAAATTGTTCCTTCTGGCATCTGGAGAGTAGGAAGACGGAGAAGCATTGGCAATTCTGAAGGAACACTTTGTATAATTCATACTTAGACTAGGAAGCCCATTTTGAATTTGAGCTTTCTGTTTCATATAAGGACTTTTTTATAAAGGATTTTTGTATATATTTTTCCCCCTGAGAAAAGAGTATGCATGTGTGTGTATATGTGTGAATATGTATGAGTAAGTGTTTACGTATAGATGTACAAGGGCTGTCCAGAAAGTATCCAGCCACTGTTAACACATATTTTTCATAGTACATGGCTGGATACTTTCCGGATAGCCCTCATATACATGAACATAAAACTGAGACATACTTTTGATAAAATCATTATGTAGGGACTATTACTAGAATATTATTGTCAGTTGTGCTATTTCTTCTTTCCCCAAATGCCAGTTGGAGCCATAACAATTTTTATACTATATTGACTAGTAGAATATAAATGCATGTCTCCAGTTGTTGCCGATGAGTTAAGCTTTATCTGTTTGTGTTTCTATACAAATTTTAGTAATCTCATATGCAAATGTGAATTTCTGAAAAGCATTTTCTTCCTGATCAATTTCCAAATGCAATGAATGGACAAACATGAAACTTTTCATAAATGAACTGCTCTTGTAGTTTCTCCCCATTTTTCTTTTGAAACAGGTGAGAAACCTCATAGATGTCACCTTTGTCCATTTGCATCTGCTTATGAACGTCATCTGGAAGCCCATATGCGTTCTCATACTGGAGAAAAACCATACAAATGTGAATTATGTTCCTTCCGCTGCAGTGATCGAAGTAACCTGTCCCATCATCGAAGGCGCAAGCATAAAATGGTACCAATTAAAGGTACTAGGTCTTCCTTAAGCAGCAAGAAAATGTGGGGGGTTTTACAGAAGAAAACAAGCAATCTGGGCTATAGCAGAAGAGCACTAATCAACTTAAGTCCACCTTCCATGGTGGTTCAAAAACCAGACTACCTTAATGATTTTACCCATGAAATCCCAAATATCCAGACTGACTCCTATGAAAGTATGGCAAAAACCACACCAACTGGTGGCCTTCCAAGGGACCCCCAAGAACTCATGGTTGACAACCCTTTGAATCAGCTCTCGACTCTAGCAGGACAGTTGTCCAGTTTGCCACCTGAAAACCAAAACCCTGCATCCCCTGATGTAGTTCCCTGTCCTGATGAAAAGCCTTTCATGATTCAGCAGCCTTCTGCCCAAGCAGTGGTTTCTGCTGTGTCAGCAAGTATTCCTCAGAGCTCCTCTCCCACGAGCCCTGAACCTCGGCCATCACATAGTCAGAGGAACTATAGTCCAGTGGCAGGTCCAAGCAGTGAGCCAAGTGCCCACACAAGCACTCCTAGCATAGGAAACAGCCAGCCAAGCACGCCAGCCCCAGCCCTGCCAGTCCAGGACCCTCAGCTTCTGCACCACTGCCAGCACTGTGATATGTACTTCGCAGACAATATCCTTTACACTATTCATATGGGATGTCATGGGTATGAAAATCCTTTTCAGTGTAATATATGTGGATGCAAATGTAAAAACAAGTATGATTTTGCCTGTCATTTTGCAAGAGGGCAACATAACCAACATTGAAAACAATCATATTATGTTTTACTTGGTTTTGCCTTTTTTGTGTTCTGTGCTTTGGTGTTTTTTTTCATCCCTGATAAAGTGTCTGCTAATTTAAAGTTTATAGTTATAGAATATAAACTTGACAGTGGAAACAGAATTTTCCCATTTTTTTCCCCCATAAAAGTCTGGTCAGAGTCATTTATGTATTAAAAAAGTTAGACACACTGTGTCTCTTTCCTTTCATTTAGACATTTGAGAATTGGAGTGCAATCATAATCTTCCAGGTGTTCATTTAAATTTTTCACATTTATGGTCCATAAAAACTTCAAGGCTTATCCATACTTTTGATATTTCAATATAGACACTGAGCTAGATGTTATGTCTGCCATAAAATGGTAGAATGAATTATCTTCTTATAAAATCTGTTACAACTTATTTCAGTGTTTAGTAGAGAAATTGCCTTAAAAATTGCTCTTAATTAAAATATTATTTAGTTCACATATCTTAAGTTGAATTAGTAGTTTCATTTCAACTGACAATAGTAAAGTTATTTCAGTGTAGTAAATTTTTCTTTTTTCCACAAGGGGAAATGTAAAATAGTTAATTCTTACAAAAATAGGAGGTGAAAGTTCTAAACTAAAACTTAAGACTTTAAATTGGAAAGTGTGTTTAATATTTAAAATACCTGTTTATTCAATTTCTAGTTTAAACCCATGTCCAGTCTCCATTGAATCTTTATTATATTTTGGATTTTTTAAAACCACAGGTAAATACACTAGAGTGCTAGATGCCTTTTTTACTTTCAGCTTGAACCTTTTTCATTTAAATCTTTTCTTACATTATTACTATCAGATGAGGTTGATAACTATAGTGAGAATCTTTTATTCTTCCTTTTCCTTTGAAGACCAAAGAGGTATAGTGGAAGTCATCCATCTTATTATTAAAATGTAGTCCTTCAAAAAACAAAAATCTCTGAAGATTCCTTTTCCTGCCTTCTATCCATTTATTGCCCATAATTTCCAAGAAAAGGTGGTATAGAAACACATGGGAAAAAGTGATGGTGAAGTAATATTTACAAAAATGAGAACATGTATCCAAAATGGATTCTGGTCTCCTTTTCAGAATTGGCCATCTAAAATGTTTTCTGTGAATTCAAACTGTAATTATTTGCAGTTTTACCAGTCCTCATGTACAGTGATAAAACTATATGGAAACTGAATTGTCGCCTTAGTAAGGATAAAAAGGTGTGAAAATGAATACAAAATGCATATAAACATTTGTTTATAAAAATAAGACTTGCTAAATAAATCTAGAGTAATTCATTTTGAATAGGAGGCTGTTGTTTTTATATTGTGTAATAACTAGCTTACTTGGAAGAGAGCTTGGTCAAACAATAAAATATATTATTACTAACTGTTGGTTTCTGTGTACTTTGCAAAAATTTTATTTTTAATTTGGTTCATATCCTCTTCAATGTGCTCTTAATTGGCTTCTGAAAGAGACTATCCTGTTAAGCATCTATTAACCCAAAAGGACTTCTACTCTTGTAGTAAATAAAAGAGAAATACTGATGTTATCTGCCCACAAAAACCCCAAGTGCCAAGTTAATGGATACTCTGCCCTCTCTTCCAAATGCTAGAAAGCCATTGTAATGAGTTCTTGTGGTTTAGTATCTAATCTAAGCTCATCTCAACTGCATTGTTTAAAGAGGAGCATCAAGGACAGTTTTTCCAAACTGGAACTTTGTCAAATCTTGTGAATCCAAAATTCTGCAATTCTGTCTCACTCTTGCTTAAATCACTCACTGCTCAGTTCAGTTTTACTGCAGCAATTTCCGAATGTATAACTTTGCTCTAGTATTTATCAATTGCCAGAAAGAAACAGGTCATTTGGAAGCTTTTGCGATTATTTTTCCTTATATTTTATTTTTCAGATAAAAGCAATACCCCAAAATAGAAAATGAAAATGTTCATTAAAGAGAAAGAACTCTCTTGCTAAAACCAGCTTATTAACTCTACATTCTGGGCCAAATACATTTTTTTCCCTAACAACTAAAGATGGATGTTTTGAAGGTACATTTTAATTTAAACATGGAAAAGATATTTTTTTCATAATTACAAACTAGAATGTAAAATCCTAATTTTCCTATGACTTACAGAGCACAGTTGATATCCCAAAGGTGTTGATGCTTAAAAGCTACAATTATTCTAAATGCACTTAAAATTTTTGAGGCAAATCTACCTTAGAAACTTTTTTGATATTGTATTTTCTAAAAGATTTAGGATTTTATTTAAATTTCCTGTGAGTTAAATTCTGTATTTGTTAAGATGTTCATATCTTCCCTTATGTATTAAATATGTTTCTCATTTTTAATCAAATATTTTATAGAAATAAGTTGTTGGGAAAAGTTTTAACATGCACTATTTATAGTACTTTGCCATTAACAGGCAATGTTCTGAAACTAAATTTATTTTTGTTTAGTGAACATAAGTTTAGATTTTTAAAGTTGGTAGATAATTTATCTCCACTAATATTTTTTTAAGAAACTGTGAAGAGATTAACAGGGAATAATTTTATTTCAGATTTTACTAATGTAGTACATAGCTACAACTTGAAATTCAAGTAAAGGCTAGACTTTTACTTTGAAAATATTCCATTGGGTATTTCTAGTGCTATTTCATTTTAGAAATAAGTGTTTGCCATTCTTCTCCAACATTGTTTGACAAAGGGATTACTAAAAAAATAAAGATAAACCTCATTTTAAGTTCTACCAAAATATTTATCAAATGAATGTGTTACTAAAAATAAAGATTCCCTGCTAAAGACTTTTTCATTAGTCTTAGAGGGTATATGCTTTCTAGAACTTGTTTTTGTTAATATGTACTTTGATGTAAAAGAACATATTTTGTATGCAAAACATAAAACTTGCATTATGGTTGTAAAATACACTATATTGTTTAGGGATTCCAGAAAGCAGTTTAATGCTGAAATACCGATATCTAGTATGTAGTTCATATTGTGATGAAGCTTTGCTTTTGTAATATATGAATAAAATAATAACACTTTCTAATGACCTCGATTTTTCTTTTTTGAAAACTAGGATCAAATTAGTTTTTTAGTAATTTTCCGCTATGTAAAATGTTACGTTAATAAAATAAATAGATTTTGTGGCTATACTGGTTTGAATTTCTAGATGCCTTACCTGAGGAGATCTGTCATGAGTTAAAAAGAAAAACGGATTCATACATCTGCAACTTGTCTCCCCTCTAGTTTCTTCTCTTTATTCAAGATCCATTTAACTTGACTTCTGTCCCACAAGCCCCACCTACCCTAAGCTTTCTGGCATATAAATGAGGAAGGCTGCGTCTGTGCTTAATTATCAGTGTCACATCTGACAGGTGAAAGACTGAAGTGTTATGACAAATGAATCCTTTAGAAAGAACTGATTTTTTTCTTTTTTAAAAAAAGAATGGTCTTTGCAATGTACATTACTGGCCTGGAAAACATACAGTAATACAAATTTGTTTTAACTAGTTTGCAAAAGCTTAACCAAAATCAGACATTTGACTGGAAATTCAGATATTTTAATGCTGCTTTGAAAAATATTTCTGTACAATATTATCTTTCTCATAATGAAAAAAAGAAATGATATCTGATATGTCAATAATTTGTTGAAAGCACAGATATTTTTTGTTTCCTTGTCTTAGGTCTTCCAAAAACTCTGTTTTGAGCTTATTAAGTTCTTCTGCTAGAAGCTTCAAGTTGTAAGGAAGCACTTGTTCATCTAAAATAAAAAGATATTATCAGATTATTTGTATAAATTAAAGCAATCTGGGCTGTCTAATGACATCAGGAAATTCATTCGATTTGGACAAACCAGTCGGATTCTATAAATAATCACAATTGAGTTGGTGTAATACAAACAAAAGGTCACAATGTGATACACAAAAATCATCTGAAACAAAAGAATTTAAGTAACTTTGCTATGAAATGTATGAGCAGAAAAGACAAACCTGAAAGGGATTTTTTTTTGTGGACAGGAAGAGCCAAGATAGTTGGACTTACTGTCTTATTGAACTAATAAGTAGAAAGGAAAAAAAGCAGAAATAGAAAATGACAATTTAGGGTTTTTCTCCACAATCAACATTAGTACCAGAAAATTTAATTTTGAAACTGATAAATCATATCTAGGACAGCAGTCCAATATAACTTTCTACAATGATGGAAAGATTCTATATCTGCTCTATTCAATACAGTAGCCAGTAGCCAAATGTGGGTAGTACTACTAAAAAATTGAATCTTTATTTTTTGTTAGCTTTACTGAGATGTAATTCACATACCATATAATTTACCCTTTTAAACTGTATAGTATGAAGGTTTTTAGTATATTCACAGATATGTGCAATCATCACCACAGTTAAGACATTTTCTCCATCTTAAAAGCAAATCCCTATCCTTGAGCTATCATCCTCCTACCCCCTCCCCTCTCTGCACCCCCAATCCCTAAGCAACCACTGCTCTACTTTCTGTCTCAAGATTTCTCTGTTCTGGACATTTCATATGATTGAAATCATAAAATATGTGGTCTTTTGTAACTGACTTCTTTCACTTTGCATCATGTTTTCAAGGTTAATCCATGTTGTATAGCATGTATCAGTACTTCATTCTTTTATGCCTGAATAATAATATTCCATTGTATGGATATACCAAATTTTATTTATCCATTTTTCAACTGATAGGCACTTGAGTTGTTTCCATCTTTTGGCTATTACAAATAATGCTGCTATAAACATTAGTGCATAAATTTCTGTGTGAACATGTTTTCATCTCTCTTTGGCATACACCTAGGAATAGAATTGCTGGGTTACACAGTAACTCTGTTTGAGGGGCTGCTAGGCTGTTTTCCAAAGCAGCTGCACCATTTTAAACTCTCACCAGAAGTGTATGAGGGCTCTGATTTCTCCACATCCTCAAGTCCTCACATCCTTGGACTTTTTAATTCTAGGCATCCTAGTGGGTATGAAGTTGTATCTCATTATGGTTTTGATTTGTATTTCCTTGATGACTAATGATGTTGACTGTCTTTTCATGTGGTTATTGGCCATTTTATATCTTCCCCGGAGAAATGTCTATTCAGATCCTTTGCCCATTTTATTATTATTATTATATTTTTTTTGAGACAGTCTCTCTCCGTCACCCCGGGTAGAGTGCAGTGGCATCATCGTAGCTCACTGCAACCTCAGACTCCTGGGCTCAAGTGATCCTCCTGCCTCAGCCTCCTGAGTAGCTCTGACGACAGGTGTGTACCACAACGTCCAGCTAATTTTTCTATTTTTAGTAGAGATGGGGTCTCACTCTTGCTCAGGCTGGTCTCGAACACCTGAGCTCAAGCAGTCCTCCCACCTTGACCTCCCAGAGTGATAGTATTACAGGTGTGAGCTACCACACCTGGCCCCTTTGCCCGTTTTAAAAATTGGGTCATTTGTGTTTAATATTGAGTGGTAAGCGTTCTTTATCTTTTTTGGATACAAGTCCATTATGAGATACATGTTTGCAAATATTTTCTCCCATCCGTGAGTTGTCTTTTTCCTTTGTTGATGGTAGATAAATTGAATTTTTAATTTTATTTAAGCACAGTCTAGAAACTAGTATCACCTCCCCTCACCAAAAAAAAATCTGCTTTTTTTAATGGGTGGGAAATGAGTCAAGAGTGATTTTGGGCATAACGCTATACACCCCACCCACTTTATTTATAGAGAGAATGGAAGAAAAGCAAAAGGTTGAGCAAGAATCCCTGGAACTATTTTTTGTTTGCATTCTAATTATGCTGCCATTCTGTTCCAGTCCTCTGTTTTTCAAAGTTTGGATTGTAACCCATTGTTTGTGGCAGCCAGTGTTTTTCAAAAATGAAATCAAATAGAGCGTAGTAGAGTTCATTAAACATGTGAGGATGTTTTGTGAAACTTTTGTTTCCACATGTGTGAGTTCATGTACTGGGTTACAATATAAAATCTATTTATGGGTCATGGTTAAAAAAAAAGTTTGAAAACGCAATATGTTCACAAAGGGCAGAAAATAAAAAAGGATAAAAGCCACAATAGGGTTAGTTTATTGTTTCCTTTTCTAATGTCCTAAGCTTCTGTAAAGGTAATAACAAATGGTGGTGGTCCAGGGAACATATGGAAAAGCACAGACTGGAATCAGACTTAACTCTGAACCCCAGATATTTAGGAGCTGTTTAGCCGAGTTATTATCCTGATCCTCTGTAAACCTCCATTTCACCATTTCTAAAATTACACCTACCTTATAGGATTGTAAAGATTAGAAACAATATTTATAAAGCACTTAACATATAAAAGGCACTCAAAAAATGTTAGCTGCTGTTTTTTTAAAATCCAATTTTAAATACAGCAATGAGTCAATATAAACCTATAGGAACTATTTTATAAAACTATAATTACTACATATTTCATCTATCATACAAATTTGGATTTACAATACATTGACCTTGTCCAAACTCCATGCTGATCTTATACCTGGCCCCTGACTACTCCTCCTCCTTCCTTCCCCCCATGCTCAATGGCCTCTTCCCTGTTCCGGAATGTTCCAAACTACTCTACCTCTGGACTTTTGCACTTGATGTATCCACTGCCTGGAATGATCATCCAGACAACTGCATGGTTTGCGCCTTCCCTTCATTCACGTCTTTGCCTAAATGTCATCTCTGAGAAGCCTTCCTGATTACCTCGTTAAAAACAAATCCTCCCCTCACTCTTCACTGTCTCACCCTACTTTATGTTTCTCCAGAGCACTGGCATATATTCATACAACCATTCTTCTGTCTCTCTTCTCACTAGAACATTCTTCTCCCTGCTGATTCCCCAGCATCTAGAATAAGGCCAAGGCCTAGTACAGAGTAAAACTCAGTAGAAATGTATTAGATAGATGACTACTCAGTTCCATGGGTGGAATTTTTAGTTATATTTAACCAATGTGCATATTGAAACATGATATAAACTTTTATGACTGAAAACAAACTACCTGAGTGTCAGGGGAACAACAGTAGCAAGAGAAGGTCACATCACACCAGCGAAACAGCACGTCACTGACACAACATACCTTTTGCTTCCTTCATCGTCTGAGACACAATTCTTCGGAGTGTCTGATCCACTTTATGAAGAATGTTAGTTGAACATATAATTCTGTCTGTTTCCTGTGTAACACAGACATTGTTATTGGAACAATTATATAGTTGTATAAAAGAAATGGCTAAAGCGTAGGTGATGCATATTGGAAGGGACTAATAAGTGGCTTTTTTTTCTGTTTGTCACTCTTCCCTAGGAGAGAGTCCAGAGCAATTCCATCCCATTGTAAACTGGCTTCCATCCAGGCAGTGATATGCTGGTGAAGGTCTAATAACTGGCCCTCCAGACAAAAACAAATCCCAAACCTATCTGTAGTGCTTGCCAATTTCTGTGGTGTAAATATTCCCATTCTTGCACGTTTTAAGCTACCAACATAATGTCAACAGGCTCCAACATTTCTGAAAGTTTAACTGGCTTTGACCATCCAGCACAGCTGCCAGCAGGGCACGCTGCAACCAGCGTCAGCAGCTGAGTGCTGGTGATGCCCGTCAGTCACAGAGCACCTTTCATGTTTTACTGGCCTTTTATTAATATGTTCAGCCCCAAAAGATCTTCCTATGAAAAGCTGTTCCTTCTCATTTATACTAAACCTATACTGGAAGACTTACCTTTTGTTCCACATTGTCCTCAACATATTTTACTGGATTTTCCAAAGCAGTACGCAATACATCAGTCACCTCCAGGCTATAGAGAAAGTGGGATAAAATACAATAAATCCATATATCAAACACCTGTTTTTTAAGAACTTGTATTTATGAACCCTAAATTGAATTCTAGAGGAATAAAACTGCTATAATCCAAGATCCTTAACAAAAGGAAAACGACTAAATGGTACAGAAACTACCCTCTACCTGCAAAATCCAATGTAGTAGCTCAAAACAAATTATAAGCCAAAACCCCCTAATTTAAAAAATATTAATTTCTGAAGACTGGTATCAATAAGCTTTGCATAGTCATTCTCTCCTCCCCTATTAAGTGCTGCACTGTAGGCTACCAGAATTCTTTTTTATTCCCTAAAGAAAGATGCTCAGTCTTTTCTTTCTGGTTTCTGCTTATTCAGTAAGGATATGGATTAACACAGTTTCTCACTGACCAAGGCTCCACGGAGGTTTGAGGTGGAATTCATTCATTCATTTAACAAATATTTACTGAGCATCTTCTTATATGAAAAATACTGTACAACTGCATATGTGAAACTATGAGCTAAGCTGCCTTCTCCAAGCCTGATAACATAATAGACACAGATATATTAATTAAATAAGCAGAAAATAATTTCGGACAGTGGTAAGTGGGCAAGTGAGTGAAGACAAACAAAGGGATGATAGTAAGAGTGACTGGGTAGCCAAACTAACCTTCACTGCAGTTAGGATGGTGAATGAAGGCAGTCAAGCATAAACATGTGGGAAGGGCAGAGAGGGTGGCAAGTATACAGGCTCTGAGGCAAGAACAAGCTGCTAGTGTTCATGCAACAGAGAAGACCAGTTTGGGTGAAAAGAAGCAAGGATGGTGAGTGGTAGGATATGAAGCTGGAGAGTTAATCAGAGTTAGAACACAAACGTTATGGTAAAGAGTCTGAATTTTACTCAGAGTACAGGAGGTAGCACTGAAAAATTTTAAGCCAGTGAGCTCATCAAGCTAAATCTCAACCTTAAGATGATCCTTCTCACATTGGAAAGAACCCAGGTTCTGAAGTGAGTGAGACTGCACTGGGTCCAAATCTTGGCTCTGCCACTTACTACCTGTGTATATTACTTACTTACCTGGGCCTCAGTTATCCCATCTATAAAATGGGGATATAGTTTTTACCCTTAAAAAGGGTTGTTGTGAGAATTGAATGCGACCATACACAGAAAGTGTTCAGAACATGCCCAGTACATAGTATGTACTCAGTAGCTGTTGCTTTTATTATTTCACAGAAGCCTGGGAAAGATACATTTATCAGATCATCTTTCAACTTCCAATACACCAGACTGCACAGAACCCCTTTACAGTTACACTGTGACTATTTTGGATATGAGCACAGGTGACGAGGTTCTTAAATTCTGAGATGAAAGGGCAGATTATGGTAAGGACTGGCCGTGACGCTAGAGAAGCCCACACTCTCCTTGCTTCTAGCAAAGACTGGGTCTCACGGGTCTCAAGGCAATGATGATAACCTTACGCTGCTCTCATGGGATATCTCAGTGCCTCAACCAGCTGTCTACTTCCAAAGGAAACAATTTTAAGTATTCCAGGAAAAGTAGCAATCAACTAGTTATGTGCCTGCTCCAAGTTTCAGAATATTGTAATAAGTTAAAACTAGAAACTGCACCAGTAGCTTATTTCATAAACTGTCTAAACAACAGTCAACTGATTCCAATTTTGTTTCTGTGGGTTTTTTTTAATAGTGTGTTAATGTTATAAAATGCATGGAAACTGTATCCTGGGAACTAAACATTTTGTGGAATGAGTTTAAAAACAACCTTTAAAAATTGCCGATCCTGGCCGGGCGGGGTGGCTCAC